ACCAAGAATAATGAGATTACCGCTAAGAATGATGCTGTTGCCGCCAAGAACTATGCTATTTGCACCCAAGAAGGATGCTGGTTCTTTCTGGGGGTGATGGTAACTCACCCAGAGCATCCCAAGCAAGGAAATGGATGGAAAAGGAAGCTGGGCCACCTCACGTGGCTTTGCTTTTGGGGTTTTTCACCCCTTCTAAAGGACACAAAGTTGTGTGTGGCACTTCTGCAATTCAAACCCCAGGCTTGACAGGGCTAGAAGGAATAAAAGAAGGAAGAAGGGAACAAACCCAACCCACTCCCAACTGCAGCTCACGCTCATGGAAACAAGATGTGGCGCACGTGAGGCTGTCCCAGGGAGAAAGTTTGCTAAAAATAACATATGCAGATTATGTACATAAAATGTCATGAAATATCAGCACATAAACCCGTGTGCGAGTTCAGGCTGTTGCAATTACAGCTCGAATGCGCCAGATGAAGGACACACGGCATTTGGTGTGTCTGCAGTGGAAGCCAGGCGTGGGGCCAGCTCCAATCTCCAGCCGTTGCTCGAGGCGCTGGGGGCCATGTCTGGCCTCACGGTGCACAGCCAAAGATACAGGGGAATGGGGTTTGGAGCTGGATGATCTTAAGGTCCTTTCCAACCCAATCCATTCCATGAGTCTATGATTATCTTCTGGTGAAGGAGGGACAGGGATAACCCTTGGGATTAGGGTATATAAAGTCCTATAGGGCTTTATACCCCTAGGGTATATAAAGCCCTTGTACCTGAGAAGGGTCCATTCTCAGGGACATAGAAGTGGTGGAGCTGCCAGAAACCCCCACATTGGGGGGTTTCCACGTGTTGGAGTTCACCTGGGTGCAGGATGGGGCTGTGCTTTGCAAGCCAGAGCTCTGCTAGACAGCAATCTCAAAGTGGGTTAGAGCATCACTCACCCCGGATGAAGCAGACCCCTACCAACCGCTATGCCAGAGGAAAGAACCCAGTAACTTACTTTGCTCATGGATGGGATGATCTCAGCACGCTCTGAAGCACCAACGAGGCCTCTTGGACCCCCCCGAGGTCCTTCAGGGTGGCATTTTAAGGCGTCTGACATTTTCTGTGCTCCCTCCTCAGTCTTCTGGCTCCAACATAAATTTTCCCCAAATTCTGCTTTTGTTATTCGCATGCATCGACACTGTTTGCTTTTGCACCGTGACCTCCATAACTCATTTTAATACATACTGAGGCAGCAGGCTTGGGCTGGAAGGGTGTTGGGGGGATGCAGAAGATCCAGCTGCAGGGAAAGCATCATCTCTGTGTTTTGGGAGAAGATGGCAGGGGTGATGGTGTATGTCCCGTGCTGGGCCATTTCCATTGGTGGCTGAAACCATGGATGAGCTCTTTTTAACCATCAATTCATTACTAAATTTATAATATTGAATAAAATATTCAGGTTTTGTTCCATTTCTATCCCCTTCATTCTCTTCCTTTTTCACTTCACATGAGATATTGGCTTGTAGCAGGAGCGAAGCAATGCTGTGGGAGCCCCCAACCATGGGACTTACATGCATATGGGAACATGTGTTTTGTTCTGCAGTTTGTCCTCACATAAAAGCCATCAGGATGTGTCCGTGGGCACCATGCCTTGCTCACAGCCTGGCTTTGGGAGCATCTCCCTCAGCACCACGTGGGTATTTGGGCCAAAACCTCCCCAAGCATCTCAGTGGTGCCTATGGCGGCCCAGTCTCTGTCCTCCCCAGTGGGTGCCAGCATCCCCCAGCTCTTATAAGACACAATATTCCCTTAAGTTATCCATGGAATCCCAGAATCCCAGAATGGTTTGTGTTGGAAGAGACCTTAAAGCCCATCCAGTTCCAACCCCTGCCATGGGCAGGGACCCCTTCCACTGGAGCAGCTTGCTCCAAGCCCCTGTGTCCAACCTGGCCTTGAACACTGCCAGGGATGGGGCAGCCACAGCTTCTCTGGGCACCCTGTGCCAGCGCCTCAGCACCTCACAGGGAAGAGCTTCTGCCTAAGAGCTCAGCTCAGTCTCCCCTCTGGCAGGTCCAAGCCATTCCCCTTGGCCTGTCCCTACAGGCCCTTGTCCCAAGCCCCTCTCCAGCTTTCCTGCAGCCCCTTTAGGCACTGGAGCTGCTCTCAGGTCTCCCCTTCAGGAGCCTTCTCTTCTCCAGGCTGCCCCAGCCCAGCTCTCTCAGCCTGGCTCCAGAGCAGAGCTGCTCCAGCCCTCGCAGCATCTCCGTGGCCTCCTCTGGCCTCGCTCCAACAGCTCCACATCCCATGTTACAGCTTTGAATCAATTTTCTAGCAAATAAAGCTTTTACCCAGCCAGTTGACCAGAATTAAATTACAACAGTGTTTTAGTTCTCTCTTCACCCCAAAGGACACTTTGCATCCCGGCAAGGCCATGCTGTCACAGTGGCTTCTGGGGCGAGCGCATCCCTTTGTACAGTTCCCCCTTTCTCTTGATTTTGTCCTTTTGTTGCATATTGATGAGGCTTATTTTTCTTTCTCTTTCTCTCTTTCTATCTCTCTTTCTTTTTCCCTTTCTTTCTCTCTTTCTCTGTTTCTCTTTCCCTCTCCTTTTTGCTCTTTCTCTTTTCTCTTTCTTTCTTTTCTTTCTTTCTTTCTTTCTTTTCTTTCTTTCTTTGTTTCTTTCTTTCTCTTTTCTCTTTCTTTCTTTTCCTTCTTTCTTTTCTTTCTTTCTTTCTTTCTTTCTTTCTTTCTTTCTTTCTTTCTTTCTTTCTTTCTTTCTTTCTTTCTTTCTTTCTTTCTTTCTTTCTTTCTTTCTTTCTTTCTTTCTTTCTTTCTTTCTTTCTTTCTTTCTTTCTTTCTTTCTTTCTTTCTTTCTTTCTTTCTTTCTTTCTTTCTTTCTTTCTTTCTTTCTTTTTTTCTTTCTTTCTTTCTTTCTTTCTTTCTTTCTTTCTTTCTTTCTTTCTTTCTTTCTTTCTTTCTTTCTTTCTTTCTTTCTTTCTTTCTTTCTTTCTTTCTTTCTTTCTTTCTTTCTTTCTTTCTTTCTTTCTTTCTTTCTTTCTTTCTTTCTTTCTTTCTTTCTTTCTTTCCTTTCTTTCCTTCCTTCCTTCCTTCCTTCCTTCCTTCCTTCCTTCCTTCCTTCCTTCCTTCCTTCCTTCCTTCCTTCCTTCCTTCCTTCCCTCCCTTTCTCCCTTTCTCCTTTTCTCCCTTTCTCCCTTTCTCCCTTTCTCTCTCTCCCTTCCCAGTCCATTCAGAAGCAGCCGATGGACGCACAGCAATCTCCATCTCCCAGGTCTGCTCACATGCCCCAGCAAACTTCCCCCCCTGCCATCCCCATGCACGGAGCAGTGCGTGCCGGTGCGGCAGCGCTCCGCAACCCCAGTGCGAGGCCAGCCGCAGGGATAACGCTGCTTGCACATCCACCCCCGGCGCTGTCACTGCCCGGTTGCCCTCAAAGCTTTCCTATCCCATGAGGGCCGGGCTGGCCATGGCCGGGCGCTGCGGCTCCTTCTCCTGCAGCGCGGAGGGGAGATGGGACCCTTTCTGTTAACACTGATTCCCAGTCAATGACTTTTAACCCCCTGAACCGAGCCACCCTGTGCAAGGAGCAGCCTGTGAAACACCAGGCACTCGGCTGTGAGGCACAAGCACCCCTCAGCCCGGTCACTGATACCAAAGGGACCTCAAAGGGGAGGTTTGCGGCTTGAGAAACACCCCAACAGGGCGTTTATCCAGTTATTGCCCTATCCCCAGGGGTGCCAAGCAGCCTCAGTTTCTCCATGCAGAGAAATGGTTTGATTTTCCTCATTATAAAAGGCTAACAGTGACAGTTCAAAGATCCCCTGCATAAATCTTCATAAAGGTCCCCTCTTCCCTCAGCACCCCATGCTGGAGCCAGCCTCTGCCCTTCCCAATCGGTGCCAGGACCCCCACAGCCCTTATGAACTACAGTATTCCCTTAAGTTATCCATGTTACACATCTTAATCATTTTTTCTAGCAAATACAGCTTTTACCAACCTAGTTGGTACACAACCCACAGCCCACCTGGATGAAGGAAAAGCCATTTCCCTAGCATTTGCTTAGCTGGGATGCTTCCCACGTCACTGTGCTGTGGTTCCCTCTCCTTTAGAGCCCCAGAGCTGGGGTTTGGGGGAGTTCTTCTTATCTGTAAGGAATACTTTTGAATCCTTTTGAAGGTGTGGAGGGTGGTTTTGGTATCTGTGAAGCTGCAGCAGCACAGGCAGTCCTGCATGGATGGGAGCCTCCTGGCTTTCCAATAAGGGAAAGGAAATCTCTCACTATTTCAGCTGTGGAAGCAGTGTTTGAAAATGCATGCTCTGGAGCCAGGAGATGAAGGAAAATCAGATAAAATACACTTCTGAAAGAGGGTTTTGAGGTGAGACTCATGATTTTTTAATGGGCAGCACTGATTTAACTCCCCTTGTGTCAACGCTGGATGGTGCAGCTCTGGCTTCCTGCTGTCAGGTCAAGTCAAGGGTCTTTTCTCACTGCCACAGGATGCTGCCCGAGCCAATGTCCCATGGTTCAGCTACAGGGAAGGGTAAGGGATGTATCTGGACATGTGAAGAGCTATTAGCACAGCCAGAAATGTGCTTGAATTCTCGAGGTCAGCAGTTCAGCATCGTGCTTTTACACCCATCTCAGATATTTCATTCCCCAAGTTCTCATCATGGGACAAGACCAGTGTGGGCACAGCTGCTTCATGATTTGGGGAATTTCCTCTTGGATGGAACACTGGAAAGGGACTTTAAAGGCTGCCACATTGCTGTGCTGGAAGCGGACCATGGGGCATGAGCAACGTGGAAGAGGTTGGTTTGGTCATCCAGCTCCAAAAACAGGGCAGGAATGACACCAGGCAAGAGCATGAACAAAGCTCACCAGAGCAGCAGTCGAAGTCACCCCATTCACACCCCTTCAAAACCAGTTTCTGCAAACAAACACCACTCTGGGAAAACACCTGGATGAGATAATCAGTGGGTTTGGATGCTGGAGGCAGTTGGCCTTCATCTTCCTCCTTAAGTGCACAACATGGATTGTTATCTTCCATCCACTGTGTACACCCGCCTTTGTTCTCCACCATCACAACAGCTTTTAAGGGTAGTCTTATCTTTGTTCACCTAGGAGAAAGTAATTGGTCAAATTTAATTCAAAGACAGATCAATTAGGGAAGGTTGTGATAGACAGGTAGGTCACCAGCGACTCATAAATCCCGGGTAGAATTTCCCCCTCTGCCATACACGGGTTTGATGTAGGAAATGGCTCATTTGCAAGCTAAAGGTTTAATTAGGAGAGGAAAAAAAAAGGTCAGCAGAGATCAGATGTGAATTGCAAAGTGCTAAAGAAGTTTACTGCAGCCACGCATTTACAGAGAGCCATGCTATAGATTCGCTCTCTCTCTGTCCAGAATGCTAACAGCACCTCTTTGGATTCCTCCTATCACCAGAGAAAACATCGGTAATATGTGGATGCTTTAAAACTGCTTGTCACCCACTTTCTCTTTATGATAATCAAAGGGCTCTGCTAAGACTCAGAGACTCCCTTACCCATCTTGTTAATTGTGGATCCTTCTTTCCAGGTTGGGTTTCCAGAATGTGACACCCTTCGGGTCACTGTTTCCTCTTCCATCCATCGCAATATGAGCCTTGCAGGGGGTATTTATTGCTCCTCCTCAGCAGGGACGCAGCCATGATGTAAATTGTGCCAGAAATACCAATATGATGAAAATTCATGACGTTCCTTCCTCACCTCACTGTGTTCTGGATAGCTTTTATGGATGTGCAAACTGCAGAAGTAAAAGAGCTCTGCACAAGCTCTCTTAAAAGCAGTGGGAGCAATAGTAATGTGATTACATGAGGGTTTAGCTCGTCGGCAAGTGTGCTGAGCCAGCCTAAGGCAATAGAGCCTAAAGTCAAGCCCTGCCACTGATCTCAGCTCTCAGGGCTGCTATGGGCAGTGCTGGTTTCAATCCCCTTTGGTGTCCAGGGCTCCCTCCTGCTGCCCCCTCCATTCCCTACGTCGCCGGGGGGTTCCCACCGGTGGGGATTGGCGTTGGTGCTCTCAGTGCGGCCGTGCTGCGGCTGCCCCTCGCTGGGACCTCGCCAACAGGCACAGATGCAGCTTCCAGCTCGATCTGTGCTGCAGCTGGGGCTGGGAAGGGTTCAAGGAGTGCTGCTGCTTGGCCAGAATCACCAGGGGTCCAGGCATCCTGGAGAACGCCATGGTTTGGGGCTTCATTAGGTGTCATACATAACTAATGACTCTGCAGTAGCGTATGGCAGGAAAGGTCCAGAGCCAGCCATCAAGGTGGAGAGAAATCAAAATGGCAGCTGGGCCTGGCTGGGAGAACAAGAGCAATTTTTCCAGTCACTTCCATTTGTTCCAGCATCACTCAGCCCCACACCCTGTTTTGATGAGAGATTGCAATTCCGCTTTAAGCAACACTCTATGAAAAAGGACAGACAGCAGCTCAGGATGTAAACCGATGTGATTACACAGGCAACGTGAATTCCCAGCACCTGAGACTCCAGCCCTCCGTGCGGTGTCGATAACACCAATTTCAGTAATCCCAGCAAAGCCAACTGTACCAGCAGTCGGTGGAGGACGGAGGAGGCTCTTCACTCTTCTGGAGGATCAGAAACTCGCAGCAATTATCAGTCAACAGTTCCAGCTGCCTGGTAAACCTAAGGCTACAGCAAACACATCTCAGCTCTGAGGCTGGAAACAGAAGAGCTGTAATTATTTACAAGCCCAACTATTGCCCCCATCGCCTGATACAGGGAGAGAAATGATGCAGACCCCGATTCATCCAGCTTCTGACAAAGACGCGTGATGCTCCTCGTGCAGACACTCAAGTGTGCTTCTAGGACACTCAAGATTCAGGTGTGATGTGTATAAAGCATTAACCATTTACTCCCAACAGTAGACAAAAACCTCATTACCATGGGCAAGCCACATCCCTATTAAAAAATCAGCTCCGATGAGCCTCCTAAGAGGAGCAAGAGATTCCCTTGTCTTTGCTGAGCGTGGGGGGGAAATTCAGCTGTTCTGACAAGCAAATCATGTTTGATATCATCCGAGCTGACTCGATAGAGATGTCAGATGGGAGAAGATAGCAGAAGTCTGCCTCACAGTTTAATTGGGTTACACTTTTGTATATCCTGTTTCAAAAGTAAGGCCTTCAAAATGCGATTTGGATGCAAGTGAGTTGCACGGGGCTTTATCCCCCTTCTCAGTGAGCAAAAGAGCACAGCTCTGAACACAGGCTGTACGTATGGCTGGATTTATGGAGCAGTCATTATTTTAACAGCACTTACTGACTTTGGGTCAAATATCTTTTTCCAGCATTTTTTCATTTCAGGAACGAGCCCGTATGTCACAATCTCATGTCTCATCTAATTGGAGAAGTGTTTCCTTTGTCCTTGAAACTGAAAAGTAGACCACGTATCCAGGAGCTACAGAATGAAAAAGCATCTGCCTTTGGTATTTGGCGTGCCTCAATTGAAAAACCCACTGCCTGGGATATCATTTGTGTTTGAGTCCTGACCAGAGCACTTCTGCTCACATTCAAGTGGACAGTTCCGAAGGTCAAGCTAGGGGTATGTAAAAATAAACCCCAAATCCTTTGGAACAATACATAGAACATTAATGGTTTACATACAACACAAAAGAGGCCCAGATCCACCAAAGCCAAGTTCAGAGTCATGCTGGAAGCACGGGAACAGCTCTCATGTTCACTCCCTTCTGAGCATCTCTATAAGCTCCTGTTGGAGTGGAGCTCGGGCCCACACTCAAGACGTGGCTCCCCTCCCTCCCAGCCCCACAAATCCAGCTCTCAATATGCACAAAACACCTCCATCTTAAAAAAATAATTGAAAAGGTGCACCCCGAAGTTCACTGGATCGATCTCTCTGAATTATTTTATTTAGAAGACACTTCATTGTGTCAAAGATTTAATGGAGAGGTCGCGATGCCCAGCTTTCAGAATGTCAATGCATTAAAAGGGAGTGTTGCAGGGAATGTTAAAATCCCTGGTAATGTATGCCCAAGCAAAACTGCCAGATTTATGAGATATGACAATCATTAGACAGAGTTTAGATAAGACATGGGCTGACGGGGAAAAGCAAAGGAAGGGCTGGAATCCTTCTGTGTGTGTCTTACAAGTGGCAGGATGAAATGCAGCAGCCCCACTACGTTCTCTTTTGCCTTCCCCTTTAAGCATTCTCTCCCCGAGCTGTATCTTTTGAAATGTGTGTATTTTTAAGTAAGCAGTATTTCCCGGCACACTTGATTAAATACCTCCCCTTGTTATTTATTGCCCATTAAACAACATATCTTCTGCAGGTACCTTCGTTGGACAAAAGCTCTTTGCTATCAAATGCAGACCTCAGCATGTCTTAGGCCAGAGCAGTTTAGCGCAATGAACTCTGCGTGGGGCTGCAGCTGAGAAGCACTGAGAAAACTCCAGCAGCACAGATCAGAGTCCTCTGCTTCATAAGAGGCACGTCTGGCATCTCAGAATTGCCCAACTTTACTTCATTTTCCACTTCTTGGTGCATGCGATAAGGTTGGAACATGCATGATGTCCAAAGGTTTTCCTCTCTTTCCTTGGGGAATGTCTGTCTTTGGGTGCTGCAGGAACAATTGCCATCCACCGAAGTACTTCCAGGCTGTAAAGTTTCAAGTGAAACGGAAGGGCGGGGGAAGGAATGACAAGTCCTTTTCACTGCAATTCTCTCCCCAAATGGATTTGGCAGAGCCTGGCTCTGCTGATCTTAAAGCAAGGTTTATCATTCGTGCAGGCTGCTGCCTGAAGGGGGGAAAGGACTTTGAAGTTGGTGAATGATGGAAGGGTCTCCCCCCTCCTCTCCCTCGCACGCATTTTTTAAGGGTGGAGACTGGGAGATGCTCAACTGCCCTGAGTCAGGAAATTACACGACAAATTAAAACAGTTACGTGGTTTAGTGCCGAGCGTCTATTCAGACATCAGAGTCGAACACGCATTCAGCACCGATTCCGTGCGCATTTACACTTTCCCCCATCACCTGCAATCCTACGCTGCGTTATTTTACTGCACGTCAAGAGCTCCCCTGCTCCGGTGTCTACACCTTGAAGAGATTTCTTTATCATTTAACTTTATTACAGAAGGCACTGCCTGGACACTGTTGGAGTGACAAGGACTATTTCCTTAATTACTGTACATTGATAATAGCATTTACTCTGGCAGCTCCAGTGCTATTCAATCAAGCAAGATTCAATACAAAAAAAGCTGATTTGCCAAAAAAGAGATTAGCATAAGTGCCTACAGTCACATTCTATTTTTGAAGGTAAAGCTACTGTGTCTGGGAGCTTTCTTGTGGGAACTTTATAAAGAGAGATTAATCTAGTTTATCTCCTTCAAAAGATATTTGGGGAAAGCACAGAGATTCGCTGTTTAGGCTCTGTTGGTAATAATTTCCTATAACCATCTAAAATAAAGACCTGCACAGAATGTGCTAATCAGCAGCAGGAAGGTATATTTCTTCCTCTTATGTGGATGTAGACATTTGTTGTGAAAAAACTCTGTGTTCCCCAGTTTGCTATTGCTGGTCTTTGTCATTTAATCAAGTGGTGACTGTAGCTGTTGTACTTTAAAATTAAATGCTATTATTTATGGGAGAACTTGTTCTAGTCAAAAATGCAGACCTCAGCACTGTGTACATTTGTAAGCAGAAGGTTAAGCAGGACATTTTAAATGGTATAGCAAAGGGCTTAATCAAGGCTGAAGAGCAAAATGCAGTGGGATAACAGATATAGTAAATAGGCATTAATCACCATACACGCTTAATCCAGGTATTAGGCGGTCTTGGGGCTAATACGAAGACTCACTTACATAAGGACTCATTCTACCAGCGCTTAAGTAAGTGAATAACTTTATTCTTGGGAGAAATTTCAGCAGCGCTCAAGGCCCTTGCAGTATCAGGCATACAGTATAGCTCTGTAAAATGATCACCATGCAATTATTTTTGCCTGAAGGGGATTTCTGAGTTAGGAGGCGTAGGGGGGGGAGTGGCTCAAGAAAGGCAAAAACTGAATTGCCAGAGCATAAGGAGCCACTTTTCCGTGTTGTTTTTGTTTTCCCTTGACACTGTCTGTAACCGTGACATCAAAATCCGAGCTAAGTACTTCTTGCCAAAGATGGACCAGATAAAATCACGAAGCCAGTATCATCTCATGTGAGACAGCTCACTGTCTTAGTGACAAATTTAGTGACTACAAATCCAGGCTTAGAACATAGTCCTTCCCTAGTCATAATCCAGCACTCGCACACTGGATTTGCCTTTAGCTACTGATGAACTGTAACTTGGGTTTCAAGAAGATAATAGTGCATCCATAGGTATGAAATTCACCATACAGAAGTTCTTTTATTAAGTGCTCAGAAAGATTAAAGTGCTTCCACGTTTAACTTAACATCAAAAAGTCCAGATCTTTATACAAACTGGCATGTCACGTGTACTGACACACCAGCACACAAACCGCAGCCTCCGGCCCAGGGTGGGTTTTGGCATGCTGGTCAAGCTTGACTTACCTAGCACTGAAACAGAACAGGCAGACTCATGGTAAGCACCACACCTAACCTCAGGAACAGGGAAAGAGCTGGAAAAGTGCGGGATGGGGTAAATGGCCGCGGATTATCTAGTCAAGGAATAACAAGATGAAAAAAAGAATCCACAAACCTTTAATTGTGAATATAGGAGAGGGACAGTGATGTAACTGTTCCCAGGGAACACTATTCTTATTTTGTAGAGGGAGGTGAGCCAAGATACTTAAGCTCTAGAGAACCTTTAACACAGGAAGCTATTTATCATAACAAGCTTGGTTGATACTGCTCCCATACTGAACCAATTAGATTAGCCTATTTCGTCATACTTCATAACTTGGGATGATAGGTTTCCAAGCATGGTACAGTGCAGTAATTGAATTTTGATCAAACACACATGGCCCATAACCCAGTATGTGAAACTTTCAGAACAGTTCACAGCTTTTAAATATCCAGTCAACATGTTGCCAAAAGTACAGGATGTACTTGATGCAAGTGGGAGAGGAGGGGGGAGCACGAGTCCTCGCCGTAACTTGGTACAGCTGTAAAACAAACATTTTTTTGTTCCGATTCTGTTCCTACTTTAGCAAAGGAGCTGGGAGGAAGACAGGGAATGTCAAGTAAGTCGTTTTTCTCCCCAACCCCCACGTATTCCTCCCCCCTCCCCCCAGCACACATTTCCCTTTTAACGTTCTTGGATTACCACAACCTTTTACATTCACTGTACTGTACTTACATACTGTATTAGACACACCAGCAATTCTGTTTGTTAGCATGACACATCCATTGCTTACACTTAGTTAACAAAATAACTTAAAAGTCGCATGCATCATCCTCTTAATAGGGTTAGAATCAATGGGACCGTGGAATGAAAGACCTAAAAATTACCCCCCACCTCTGCATTCCCCAGGCTTCTGCCTCTGCCAACACAATCCATATGGTGGGCAGCCTCGTCAGGATCAAGGTGAACACTCAGTCAGTTCTTTGCAGGCTGGGATCTCCTCTTACATGTTCTCGCCATGTTTTCCCTACAGTAAATCCAAGGAACTTTGAAGAAGGCTCTGTGTAAAGGAAACAGTATACATTAATAACTTCATTCCTACAGTCCTGAAGGGCTAGGAGGCAAAGCACCCACCGCAGACCAGGTTCATGACATGGAAAACACTGTGGCAGGGTTTCTTTTGAGCAAGTAATGGGTATTCATATTGAAGCTGCTTCCTGGCCTACAGCTAAGTCTGGCATGCTTCAGCAATGGAGCAGGGTAACACCAACCTCTGCATGTTATGCTGCCAACTTCTTTCTCAGCATTGAATGCTTTGACCTAAAAGGCAGCTGGAGGCAGCTCTGGGCATCTCAGGTACACAAAGGGGAAGTACCAGGGCAAGCCAACACCTTTGCTTTCATCGAGGTGGTGCAAATGATGGGAATTACCTCTACAGCCCTCCAAAGAGTTTAGGATCTGATGGTTTACCCAGGTGCTTCTAGTTGCACTCCATGGATGGGCTGCCTCCGAGCCCTCTCACACACCTGCTCTGCAGTACCACAGGTTCCAAGGGGAGAAACGGTGCTTCTCAGATGTAACAAAATGCACATCTCATTTAGGCTTGCTGTTGGTTGGGAACAGGTATACTGCTTGATTACACACACACCACTCTGCCAGAGTGCAGAGGATGTGCTGGATCCCTTCTCTCTCCCCACCCCACTGCCCACTAAGTTATGATGCTGCAGAGAAAAGAGATAAAGAAAAAGAGAAAAAATGGTGATCAACTTATCAGACTTGGACCAAGCCTCAGCTCAAACCAAGGTTAAACAGGCCTGTTCTAAGCCTCTTAAAGATAGGATTTATATAGTAATTACAGTAATGGAAACTGATCTTTATAATTTTTATACTGCCTAAAATTCTGCTGTGTCATATGCATCTGCAGAGCCTCGGAACTGTGCTTCTCAGAGAGAGCACTGCAGTCTTGAAAGCAGCCATTCAAATGTATAATGGAGAATTATCAGTGCCTGAGTATGTTTGAGATTATAATGAAGCACAAAGAGTAAGACTCAGAAATACTGGGAAAAGCATGGAATTTGTATTAAGACAAGCAGAATTTTTCAAAAACTTTATTTTGTTGGGAGTTTTTGGAACTAGATATTCACTACACACGGTGCAAACAGCACTGAGACTGCCCTTTGTATTCTTGTATTTCCTTTCGTTTCCTTTGCTACAGTCTCAGATCTAGAGAGTGAGCGTAGTGCAAAATGTATCTTGGCCGGACAGAATCCTCACATCCACTTTCCAGTTTTCTCTGTTGTGCAAGGAAAAATACCGGAGTGCTAAGTCTCTGCTGTACCATAAAGAACAACTTCAGAAGATTTGGAGATCTGATAGGGGGTTTGGCTCCACCTTCAGGAAGCAAAAGGCAAAGAGGCAACGTAGTTTAAGTTTCAGACATAACTCTGCAGAAACCGAAGCCTACAACCTCCCTTTATTGACATCTAGTGCTCCCCAATGTGTCTTTGCTTCATATATATATAAAAGATTCCCTGACCTGATGCCATGACATTTCTACATACTTGATTCAGCACTGAAGAGCCCAGCTCCCCCTAGAAGTACTTGGGAACTTGCTGCAGGATGTCCAAAGGTGGCCGATAATGAACGAGCAGAGCTGAGAGATGAACAAAAGCCAACAAAAAGCATCTCTGAAGTGAAAAGAGGAAGTTTGGACACACAGGATGTCATAGAGCTGTTTCAAATATTATTAGCCTCTTACGCTCAGTACTAAGGGTTCCATGCAAAATGCGATTTCCTCTTACAATTCAGAGATTAGAAGGTTCTGTGGGAAACACAGATGGATTGACAGAGAGAAAGTGGGAAGAGTCTTGATCAAATTTCAGTCTAGCAAAACACTTAAGCAGATGCCTAAAGTTAAGCTATTTTTTCTCCTCAGATTCAAGCAGAAGATGCAAACAACAATCTCTTACATTCCACCCTTTTGCAGACTGATGCAGGCTGAACCCAGAACATCGTAGCTGGTTAAAAAGCATGATCTAAATGAATTAAAATGATGCATTTTTCTTTAAGAAACCATACAGTCACCGTTGATAATAATGCAAATGGGAAAGTAGTTTGGGATGAGACAACACTGAGATTGAAAGACTGGATGATGTGTGGGTGAAATAAAAGGCAATCACACAGTTAGTGACAGTCCTATGAAAGTGCATGGTTACTTGCATGATCTTGCCTCTGGCATTTCCCCAACTGGGTGCTTAAGCACCCAATCTTATTGTTTTAGACACCCTCTTCTGGAGGAAACAGGTTTCAAAACTGCAGAGCAAGCAACAGGAATGGACTAAACACCTAATGAATCTAAAAATAAAACCCCCAAAACATGGAGAAGAGATGCAAGGAGACTGAGTAGACATAGCTGTGTAAGCAAACAGAACTGAATATACTCTTGAGGAGCAAAGGAAACAATTCTTGATGGGGTGACAACAGATGTTCTCCAAAAACATTCTAACGGAGCATTTCAAACACAAAGACCTTCCTGTGGAGCTGAGAAGTTTTACTGGCAGACATACAGCAATACATCTTTGGAAACATAATAAAGCCTAACATTCAAGGTGTTATCAGGTCCTGAAAGCAGAAGTGATATCTTCATGTAATAAGTGGTGGGTGGTGGTGGAGAGGGAAACACTTAGGATAACAAAATGCTGTCACAGGAAGTTGCCATCGCATAGCTGTGGTTTAAAACGCAGGAGGAATAACACGTCAGTTTGTTCCAAAATATCCCTAAATCCACTCTCCTGGAAAACAAGCTCTAAACACAAGTGAAAGACGCACAGGTTGATCAAACATCAGATGATCTTTAAGGCCCCTTCCAACTCAAACCAGGCAATGATTCAATGAAACACAATACAGAGTAATTTATGAATACAATAAGCACACTTAAATACAACCACTTTTGCGCTGTGACTGCAAAGTGCCCGGAGCCGAGTGTTTCTACCCACTACTGCTCTTTCAGATCCCGGTTAAGCACACTGCAGAACAATCCTAAAAGGGACACTAAAAAAAGGGAAAAAAGACAGGTTTATAGAGTCATTTTTGCCATGACTGAACTGCACCGGCACTTAGGGAAGATTTGGATTTAACTCCTGGCATGAATCTGCAGCATCTTCAGTGAAGATCTCCACATGGGTTTTCAAAGGCTAGGCACTTCAAATTCTTGTTTTAAACTCTGGCCTTTACTTTTTATGATGTTCTTTATTTTTACAGGTACAGAATAATACCTCTCAGTCCTGTTGGAATGTTGAAAGGATTCCTGAATATCTGCAGGGCCAGCAGCTATCATTTTATCAGAGAAGGAGGCCGGAGGATGATATAGAACATTGTCTAATTATTTCTATTGCTTTGCAACTGTTTTTATGAAAACAATGCAGAGAGAAGATTATTCAGTGCAGTCAGAGCAGCGGGAACTACGGGAACACTGGGGTGGAGAACTTGATTGGCAGGATTAAGCTCAAGCCGGCAGCAACACAGAAAATCATCATAGGACAGACATTTTGATAAATATTACTGTAGCCAATTTATTATTAGCACAGTGGGACAGCTTTACATCTCACATCACACTTTTCACAGCCCTTATGGCAAACATGCCATATCTGATAATTGCACGATGAAAACAAAGACCTCACTACTGGCCCTGCGGTTCCTATCTGCTTACTCAGTTAACCCTCTCTAAACTTCAGCTAGGCAATTAAACAGGTATGTAGAAATGCAGATAAGTGTGTTCATGTACAGAACATCATTTCTACAGTACTTAATACAAGTTGACAAGGTTATGCCATCTGTGGCGCTGATTTCTAAAAGGCTTTACAGACAAAGCAGAGTTGTTAAGACAAGACAGAGGGTCAAGTGGAATGCCATCCCAAGGGAAGAGATGATAAAGCAGTGCGTTCCTGGCAAGGGTATGCACAGGTATCACAAACCAGAGAGCATCAGGATGAGGGAGTCCTGTGACAGCTTTTATTCCCTGCATTAGTTGTCACCCATCTTCTGTTCCTAGAGAAACACTGTAACTTGGAGTAACAAATCTTTCTCTCTGTTGGCTACCTGGTTTCTGGGGTTAACAAACTATCTGATGGACCTCGTAACTAATCATATTTTCATCTGATTCACACAAAACAGCTCCCGTATTCTTTTACAGATAATGAAGCTCAAGATAGGCTGCTGAAATCATTAAGCCAAGTTCTCTGCTACTTGTACACATAGCAATACATTTCAGAATGAAATCCTGTGTGATGAGTTGCCCAAGGGTATTTTTTTATTATGATGTCTATTGTACCTTCCTATTTTCACAGATATATTATCAGCGTCAGGGTTAAAAAACAAAGAGCAGACAAGCCACAAGATGACCTTAGCCATGAGATTTTATTTGGTTCAAACAGTTATTTTCCATCCACTTCCTGTCTGTTTCTGAGAGAGTTTCAGGAAACAAAAATGTACAAACAGCATCCAGTGAGAACCAAAAGGGAGATAAAACAAATATCAGGCAAGTGAACGAAGCTAACAGCGTTCTTGTCTTTTTGAACCCAGAAGTAGAACGCAAGTATTCCAAAACTACATCTTCCTTGTGTGAAGGAAAGAATTAGTGTTAAGCACAAAACACTCCCCGTGATTTATTCTCATTACATATGTCAGGTTATGCTGATTTAGAAAAAAACTTGAGTTCTTTACAAAGCTTTCTGTGCACCAGCCAGTGTAGGTTTAAGAGAGTCTAAAACCCACAAATTGCACTTTTAAAGATCAATCTGGGAATCTCATTTTTTGCAATTCCCTTACAAATACCTTTTTGTGGACACACGAGAACCATTTTGAAAGTTTCATCTGAAAAAAAACCAACAAAAGAATGCCCCAAAGTTTTGAAAACTATCTACACTATAGCTTGTATCACATGGATTTCTCACTCAGTTCTTGCCAGTTTTCATGAGAAGGAGAAGGGAATGTTTAAAATTGGTCAAATAACACAAAGATTCTGTTAAGGTGTCTCTGTGTGCATACACTTTTCTTCAAAGGAATATCTAGGTAAATCTTGGGTATTGTAAAGACTTTGGTCAAACAACTTTGAAGGACACAGAACTCATTCCACTGAAACACAACTGATCTAAACCAACATCCTTTTAAGGGCTTTGTTAGTACAAAGAATTCACTTTTTTGACACTCTGTAGCTGTAAAATACATACACCACTTTCTTTTCAGAAATAGAAGGTAAGTATTTCACTACAGATGGCTGCAGAGGGGAAAAAATCAAAATAAGCAGAATGATTATTCCCTATTCTAACCTTAGGGCACCCCAACATCCACACTCCCTTTTTGTGATTTATTATCTACAGTTCTATTTTTCTATGCCTCCATATTTCTAATGGTGATCAGCACTCTCCAGATTTTGCAACTTGTCCAAAATTTGTCTTTAACCTTTAGAGAAATAATTATTTAAATTAATGGAATTTCAAAGGATCCATCAGCACAAGATTTAGGGCCATCTGGATTTTAACTAACAGGATAGAAAGGCCGTTTCTGCGGTTTGGGATATTTAAGTTCATTTACAAACTGCTACACATAGCTTCAAAACCAGACCCCAAGTATAATCCTGGCCCAGCCATGCTAAAACCCTCATCAATTTCGACGGACTAAAGATCAGCATAGTTGTTCTGAACAAATCTTTCTCCACCTCTCTATAACACTCTAAATTATACTTACAGACACAGAAGAACGTCAGTGCAAATTGCAGAAGTCTGCACATTTCACAAATGGTACAACTTGGCAACAAACCATGTGCTCACAGAAATAGAGCAGTCACAAAGAAACTTGGCGCCTTTGAGGTAAACTCATTCACTTGAGGAATTTTCATATTTTATCATCTTTGTTCCATGTACATTTAGTATTCAGTTCTGATGAAGTGTAATTAATAAGTCATCAGCAATTTCAGTGGACGACTGGATCCATCTGTGGAACTGAAATGCACCTATTTGTGACACTTACTGCCAAGGTTAAGGATAGGTCTGCATTTTCCTGAATGTGGCATTGGTAATAGTGAGCCTTGTAAGCCTTGCTCCATAGTAATCTATAATGTAACTAGAGCCATCCGAAGGTCCGACAATCTACAAGAGAAAAAGAACCAAGACTTTTCAATATGAAGTGAAATATATACTTTGTGCTAATGTCTCAATTACTGCTAATTTTCCCATCATAAAATTAGTCATGCTTAATTAGTCAAACAGAAACTAGATTTATTTTGAAGTTATGCTTTAGTTTAACTGTTTTAGCGAGCGCTGCCTCAGAAGGAACATTTCCCTATGGCTTCTAATCTACCAAATTACACCGCCAGGCACTGGTGCTAAATTAAGCCAATGAGGATTTGAGTCACAAAATGGGGCTAACACATGAGTGGGCTCCAAACCACTCTTCTTGAACAAAGAAGGGTAGGCAGGGGAGAATTAGGTTGACGACAACTATCTCTGAAATAGTGCACAGGTAAGCACTGGAGGGAAGGAGAAAAGATCATGAGGTTTTTGTTCTGTAAATGCTAAATTGATGTGGGGTCACCACAGAGATGAATAAGGAGAGATGAAAGAAAAATACTCTCAACTGCATCTGTAAGTGATCTGAGGCAAGATGTGATAGCTATGTGATAGCACAGAAAGGAATTTGAGAATGCATATGATTTAAAAGATATATATTTTTTAAAATTATGCACCTTTGTGTAGACATCTATAAAATCACGTAAACAATTCCCATATTCAAAACGCATTTTAAGTTCATCACAGGCAATTTGCAATTCATGCTAAATGGATGCACTGCAGAATGAGACAATTTGGCAATTTCATGATGTCACAAAATGTCACCCCAGCTGGGGATTTAAACATCATGAATCCTACAGTGACAGCTCTCGGGTGACATGGGACTTGTACTTGGAGGAGATGGGGAAAAAGAAATGGCAATCTCCCCTCCAGCACACTGCATGGCCACCCCAGAGATGGGCTCCATGAGAATGAAACACATGCAAACACAGAGCTTCAGGACTTTGGGAACAGCAGGACACCTCGTGCAAAGTCCAACATTCTGTGTCACATAAAGAGCTCACTGGTTCTGACAAAGATGAATTTATGGTGCTATAGCTTCTGAGCTATTCATTATCAGTATTTATAGATACCTAATCTAATTTTCAATCCAAACAGCAAATATATTGATATTTCATGCCCATATTCTACAACGTCAACCTACTGTGCTAAAATAAATGCCTTTATTTTTCAAGACAAAAAAGTTCTTAAGGCCAAAATGCTAACAAAACACTAGCAATTAAATCAAAGCTTTAACAAAACCAGATTTGTAGCTTGTTTTGAAAGCCCTGACTTACCTGCATTGAAATAAGTATGAAATCAATTAGGCTCCCTATTCCACAAAATCCTACAGTGCAAAACTTCAACAAACCTAAAAAAGGAAAACAGGTTTAAGCCATTCACTATGAAGTTCATAGGTTTCTGTGGCAATCACATTCCAACTCTCTCCACATTGCACTATATATATATATATATATATATATACACACACACACATACACACACTCATCTAAGAAACAGACCTAAAGTTAGAGATCTTCAATTCTCAGGGGAAGAACCAAACCACATATTCATATTTCTACGACCTGAATACACTTCAAAGATATTAAACATTAACAATTTCATTTTTTAAACAGATAAATATTCTTAAACAAGGAAAGACAAAAGTTCATAACCATAAAACTGGAAATTTTCTTCTTTTTGATTGAGGCACAGGCAGAAATAATCCCAACTTGAGCTGCAAAATTTACTTGTGAATAGAAAGAGACTTTCTACCATCCCATGAGTTGCAGCACATACTGATTTGATTTTCAGAACACGCTACTTTGGCAAACAATCCTTTGTATCATTTTTGTATTTTTGCTGAAATAGGAATTTATTTTGAATACATATTAAACAAATATAAACATTTCTTTTTAACTGGCATTCAAAAATGTTACTTTTTGTATGAATAAATGAAAGATTAATAGAAAATATATGGGAATAGCAACTAACAGCTAAATGTTTCATTAGAAGTTGCCATGCAAGGCAGACTTCATCTGGAAAATGCCTTCAGAAGGAGGCTGTCTTAAATTTAGTTTTAACATCAGCAGTGTCTTATACAATGAATATAATACAATGAGTGGTATATATAAGTAATACACCATTTGAGCTATGCAAACACCTAGGTTATTTTGAGAATGAGATACTCTTTGTGAAGACATTTGTCTCTTTACTCAGGCATAGGCAGTATGAGGAGGAATGTGTATCTGTTGCATTTAAATCAGTTGTAGGCTATGCTGTACAGGGAAAACACAGCTCATTGCTGAAAAACATATCCTTCCTGTGCTTACAAGGGCCAACACACTTCTGAGGCAAGAGAACACACTGGTAACGTCAGCCAGTGTGGCATCCCAGAACACCTCTTCCCCACAGCTACAAGTTGAGCTGTGTGTTGCATGATACCTGCTAGTAAAACCTCTAGTAAAAGCCCTTCTCCAAAGAATAAGCCTGCTCTTGGTCAAACACCTTAAAGTCTCCTGACCTCCACCTCCTTCTTTGTGCTCCCTCTCTCTCAGAAGCAGAATTCTCTCCCACATACCACCTCCTCTCCCCCATGCCCTGTTTATGAGGCTGCATACGGAGGAGTAACTGCATGCACGCTGCAGGAAGAGCATCCCACAGTCTGGATACGGCTCCCAGAGTTGACAAGATGAAACTAGCCAGATTTATAAATGCCAGGGAGACAGTTTATAACCTCTCCATGGAATAACACAACAGTCAGAGAGCACAGGGGAAAAATACCTAACGACCAAGAAGATGAAAGAGTAGTAAAGTAGCAAGATGGTTTTCGAGCTGATTAGAGAAAAAAACTTACGTGCACGTTGCAGCTGAAGTGGTGCCACTTAAACATGCAAAACCTAAAGTACTTAATTGTTTAAAACAACTTGTTCCCAGTGGCTGACCCGTGAGACTTGCAGCAGCCAGACACAGTTAGCCTGGCAGTAGCATAGCAAAACATAAGGGAAACAGCCAGCTAAATGTTGGCCTTAGGAAACAACAGTTGAGATTATTAAATAATGCCAAACTCTGGAAAATGGTTTACTTTGTTATTACCTGCACTGAGTGCAGTCACCATTTAAGATAATTGTGACACTTCTCCAAGCTCTGGTCCTGAACTTCAGCATCAGCTGGCATTTCCAAGAGCACCTCCAGTTTATCTGAGGAACTGGCTGCTCCATTATACTGGATGTAGAAGAACTGTTTCTGAACCTGGCATGTATTTCTGGAGTGCAGGGTAAAGTTGATTTTTTTCTCTTCCTCCTCACTTCCCTCCCCAACAAGCAGATCACACTGAGAAAATAAACTCCTCTAAAGCATGGAGGGAAAAAATAGTGCTCTTACACAGTAGTAACTTATGGTTTAGTTCACAGTGTGTGGGAGAAGAAGAGGTTGCTTTCCTGATTTCTTCACATTCAACAGCTTGTATTTGTGTGCTCTTTAAGCAAAAAAAGAAGGAAAAAAAATAAACCAAAGAGTGGTTTACAGTCTTTATTATGCTTGCACAAAGTATTTCAATGATATTAACCTTTCTTAACCATTTGTTGCCAAGGCATGGATGACCTCAAAAATCCCCAATCAACCACTGTAAAGGAATCCAATGTATTGATCTTCTACTCTTACCTATCTGCTTTTGCCAAAAGCTTGAAAATGTGACTGTGGAAGAGTTTAAGTTTTGTAACTTTGGTTACTGGCTACAGTATATTCCAGCGGGGTTAACAGGCATAAGCCATAAAGAACTTATATAGAAGAATGAAGGATTTATAAATCTATATTACGACATTGTATTGCAAAGTAATTACTGCAAATTATTATTCCAAATGCAATGGAATAACAAAAAGATGCACCTTATTGACCACTTCCAAAAATGGATCATTTTGTGAAACAGACTGAAAAAGTGTAAATTAGGGAATCTCAGGTTAAAAAAAGACACAGTCGTTAAACACAAGATTACCGAGAAGGAAGGAGAATGTTATGAAAACAACAAGGATTTTCATTTAGCGGGCAAAAACTCAAAATTCCAAGCTGAAGTGGCAGTAACATGTAGCTTTTCCTAATTCATTGCTCCATGCTACCTAGGCTTAAATTTGCTCCATTTGCCCAGCTCAGAAACAAAGCCAGTAAATATTGCCTGTATTTCAAAGCCAATGGCAACACCAGAAGTAGGTCTTATTAAAGGTCCAGTTTCTGCAGAACTGTTATTAATACTATGAGCTGTTTTGAAGGTATCTATTTGCCAGAATAAATTCCGTATCCCAAAACACTGTAGAATTTGTCCATTATTTTCCTAGTAAAATCAAGCATCATTTAAGTAGCTGGCACATAAGTCAAAACCTCTTCTGTTTCAGTGCTTCACAAAAAATGCTGTGGTAAACATCAATGCAAAGCAAATGTAAAGCAAAACTATGAATACCAATAATCAAGTTTGCTTATTAGGATTTTATCATTTGGAACAACTACATACCCATTTGCCACCACTTACTCCAACAGAATAGCAGTCTGAAGATCATGCAGAATTTTATCTTACTTGACAATAAAGTAAGGATTCTAGTTGTAAATATTAAAACCATGACTGTCAGCCTTCATTACTCAAAATATAAATGTACACATACAACTCAGTCATAACAATAAGCTCTATCTCAAAGAAAAAATAAGAAACTTACCTAATGCAGGATAGCCTAGATAAAATCTATCTGCTCCAAGCCATCCAAGAAATAAGGACAGAGCCACTGCCACTTTGTATGAATATCCATTTCTGCCAAAAGAAATAAGCAATGTAGACAATGACTGCAAGATATATTCACTCATACTTTTGAGAATTAAAGTAGTGAGTCATTTGCCTGCTGCTTCACTTTTTAAAAACCCTACAGACTGTTATTTAGCTTCAGTTAACAGACACAGAATTGATAATATTAAGCTTTCAAACTGGGTAGGCATCCTCCATAAAGCAACCTCAGCTGTTGCAACTTGACTATACTCTTGCAGAGTACAGACTATTCTGAAATTAAATCATGATTTCTTGTCAGGACATAATCCCCAGTTTCACAGAGTACTTCCTAACAGTTCAGCCCTACTGAGACAACCCTAGAAAGCTAAGAAGTGTATGCACATTGTCTGTAGGCATTAGTCTCACACTCAGCCAAATTGAGAGGAACAGAATAGACAGGTGAGATGTCAGCAGAGACATGAATTGGAATGAGATCTGAAGGAGAAATGAACCACAGCCACTGGCTGAAGAAGATGCAGGAAGGATTCAATAAAAAGGAGCAGTCGTATCCATTTACTACACTCTAAAGGTAGCAAATGCCACAAGCTCACAATCAAAAAGGACTGCTAATGGTACAAAGACGTACAGAGGTATTCTAAAGTTAAGCATCCCATGGTTAGAAATACAAAATAAATAGACACAACAGATTTTTTTTGAGATCTATGCTAATAGGCATCATTTTGGCCACCTAACCATGTGTAACTTTACTTGTAAGTGACTTATAAGTGAGCTAGAAACATATAGGTGTCAACACTAGAACTTGCTGGACCCTTTGCTGCACTGGCAAACAGCTAGCTTCTGAAAAGAAAAGCAAACCCAAATGTAATTAGAACTTCAAAAATATTCAATAATTCACTGCTTCGATACATGCACTACTATGTCCCAGCAATTATATAATACATTCAAATTAAGCTCTCGGTTGACAGTTGAATAAAACATAGTTTCAGAAAGACAGGAGCTGAGAAAGGTCCAAGCACCTTTATTAAGCACTTTCAATGCCAAATAAAGATCCACCTTTTTGCTTATTATCTAGATTTACTGACTTTAAAACTTAATGGCAACATTAAGGGATTAAATCATGCCTCTTACCTCAATATTTGTTACTTAGCACTTATTAGCAACACAGAATGTACTGGGCATTCCTGGAACCTAACGTAATGTAAATTATCATCTTTAGAACTGTCTTGTTTCTTCTGTAAAGAACACTAATGGTTTTATTTGAAAATTGAGGGAAACTGTTGGAAATTGTTGATCAACCACAAAAGTGTCAACAACTCTCCAAGGACATAAAAGCATAAAACAAGCTCTTACACAAAAGGTGGGAACACAGTTCCACTTGAGATGCTCCTGATCAAAACTAGCAATAAACCAAGCACTTGTCTACACACTGAGATGCTTTTAGAAGCAGAACAGTGTTCAACCTAGCCAGCATCAAACTGATGGGCAGAAGAAATCTAGTCTGAAATGGAAGCATGTTAATAGCGTAACAAAGCTGCATCCACTTTTGAATTTCCTTTGTCTTACTCTTTCAGACAAAAATATGCACTGAAGACTAAACCAGCGAGTAGGAAAATAACACATCCCAGGCATCTAAGTGAATTTCTACAGTTGGGTAAAAGATGCAATTTCTTTTCACTTCCTCATCTGATTTTTTCTTGCTTCTCAGCTCTTAATTTTTTCTGCATATGTTTCTTCCACCTGTCGTGCTAAAAACGTCCTTCCAGATCTTCCACATCAGTTGATAATAATACACAGGTAGTTCTGTTGGTCATGGTGGTTCCTATGCTCTTTCTGGTTCTCTTAGCACTTCTCAAAGACCCATCCACACTGAACTTCATGAATTTCACAGAGTACTGTTTTGTGGACTCCTTTCCTGGAATGGCAATACTTGAGCAATAGACATTTCAAGTCTGCAGAGTCATGGCCTGCACATATGAAGCAGAATACATGCCAGAGTGCCCATGTGGGGACTTCTAGAGTTCAAGGGGAAAAAAAACTACCTCCAAAACATCAAATTCAAACCAAACCAAAGCAACCTTGACTTTGCTGGAGTAATCTCATTAGCATTTACAAGCTTTCCCTTGAACTAACACTGGGAGCAGCTGAACTTGAACACATCCACTTATACAAACACATAACATCTCCTGATCTTGCTCTGTAATAAATGGATCCCAGAACTGTTATCTGGACTGTTCCTGAATTACAGTTTGGCTAAGGCAAGCTTGCTGACTTGTCCTTTCCAAAAGCTAGGAAGAGAGCTGAAGCTGCTGTACCCATGCTAGGACAATCCTGCTAATGGGAAGATGCCTTCACAAATTAATTTTCTAGGTAAATGATGTGCAGTTATTTCTGCCAGAAGATAGATACGATTTCCATCAAAACTCAGATAAGGCTAGAAAATCTACAAAAAGCAGTAGAAAATGCAGACCTATTGTTGCAATATTAAGCTGGAGATTCCTACTTAATGTTTCTCATAGTTAGGTAACATTCCAAATAGTTTATAAAAGGCTTATATAAATGATCAGTGATTAAACAACTTTTTAGACAAGTATACATAGGAAGCATGGTAGTATTCATCTTGCTGCCATTTTTACCTGGCTTTGGGACTTTATCAAAGGCATGTTTCAATAACTCTTCCTACATTCCCAGCTGTATTGTACTGGAGACTTCAGCAAGCCTACAAAAGGTGCCCCTTCTGCCATACGAGCAGTCATGAGATTGGGAAAGCCACAGCAAGTTCTTTTGGTAGTGTAGCCATTGATTAGTTCACCATAAAGAATCATTATGATCAAGTAACAGACATCCCAAGAAGGATGACTTTTTCTGCCTGCATATATTTTTTCATTAATAAATGTAATGAAAAGCTACATTTAAAACATGTTTCTAGAAAATGTATTAAACCAAAAATATACACATATATAAAAAACTGCAAATAGAAGAATTACTGTCTACACCAAAGAGGAAGCAATTTTATTGAACTAGTATAGCTCATCTTGTTCTCAGTATCCCTCACAGATGGGACTGAAACGCAATTGTTTCCGGACAAAAATGGGACTGAAGTCTAGTTTGCTAGCATTTAAATTTGATTAGATGTAATAATATGTTTTCTTCAATTTGCTGAGCTTTGACTGTCGACAAGACTAAATACAGAGGAAAATATTTATGAAACTAAGAGGCAGAGCTGTACTTCAGAGTTAGGCAAATTATTGAGCAGTAAGAATTACATTAGAGTTATTTGCTCACTGGTGTGATAAGGAATACCCAGTGAATATTACTGGTGGTTTAATTTCCAAAGATTCCAGTAGGACAAAAGCAAAAGGTTCCTGCATGAAGCTCACAAGAAGGAGAAACAAATGGTACTGACAGGTGTTGGATGATCATTAGCATTGGCCAGTTGGAACATTTATTGGTACCCAGAGCTCTCCACTGCTCACAATGTGCTTTAGAAAAACATGGTCCATCATTTTCACGTTTCAGAAACAAGCTCTTAAAAGACATAGAGGATTTGATTAAACACAAAGGTTGTTTAAAAATAGAGAACAGTTCCTCTGAAAGAGATTTTGGGGGGAACTGGATTGAGACTTAAACTCCCCCAATATTCACGCATACAACTTAAGCTGCAGCTACAGGCACAGTTTAAACTGGCATAAGCCAGTACCAACACTGACAGAGCAGTGCAGTCCAGCCCTCCTTTGTCCGTTTCTTTATCCTTGAGTTGCCCTCATCCTCACACTGGCACAAGCACCTGAAGTGACTCAAATTGGGGAAGTGATCCAAGTTAGTTCAAACCGAGATCAGTTCCCTCATTCAGTATACGGTACATCAGGGGAAGGGATGGAGAGGTGTCCCCAGACAGCTCCTTTCAGCAGCTGTGTGAATTTTAAACATGTGTGAAATGTAGCTTTAGCATTTATGGCAAGTTTTTGCCAGGGTAAAGTACTAAGTAAAGCAAAGGTAAAATACTAAGGTAAAGCAAAGACACAAACATAACTAAACAAAGTGTCTAAATCAGAGACAGATTTACTCATAAACATGCATATTGTATCCTTGTATTGCTTATTGTGTTTGTTACAGGATTAAGTGCTGGGCAATAGCTGTATGGGTCTATCTTCCCTTTTTCCATCTGTCAACACATCAAACTGTTTTAGAAAAACACCAATGTGAAAACAAAGATAAATTATAACAAAAGGTAACAGTGTACTTACACATTGCGACACGCAATAGGCTTGTAAAATCCAACTTCATGTCCTGTAAAGACTTTTTCTACACCAAGGTGATCTTTGCAAGTAATATTTGGTGCTGGCAGACACTGAACTGAGGACAAAAAATTATATGAAATTAAGCAGTAACCATGCATTGTAGCATTTTTTTCTGACACAAGTGAAATGAACAAATGAAAATCTACTGTGCAACACAGAGCCCACAAACATAATTTAAATAACTTTTTGAAGTCATTTATATGACTTCAAAAAGTCATAGAAACTTACATACATATTGTATTTTTTCCTTGCTACATATTAACTAAATTATACAAACCTAATTGCTGCCCTAATTCTGGTTTAATTTCCATTCTGGCTCCAACATGAGTCAATGGGAAAGCTGAACTTGACATACAGAAAACATTTGCATCATGAGAAGTCAAATGTTGGAACAAGAGGCGCAGAGATGTAGTGCCATCATATCCTTGCAGGTTTTCAAGATCTGACTGCACAAATCCCCAAGCAACCTGGTGTGAACTGAGTGCCAATGCTGCTTGGAGCAGGAGGGTGGACGAGTTCCTGAAGAGTTTTTCAACCCAACTTATTCTATTATTTCATTATTTTAAGCTAAGGCTTGACTCTTGAGAGAACCAAAGTGGATATCACAGCAGAAAGTGACACCTGCTAAAAGTCTGCAATGTATTGTCAGACTATTAGTCACTATCCAGTGTTATTTCATGTAGAAAAATTAAGCAAAGCAAGCAGTTGCTTTCTGCTACTCAGAAACCCACAGCAGTTAACATATATTGATACAGAAAAGGCCACAATTATCTTGTCAATCTGACACCAGTAAGACTCCAAATCTGTTACTCAGTAAGACTACTTCAGTGCTTTGAACTAACCCTAATTTGTTTGGGTGATGGATATCAGAAAGGTATTCAGAAACAGCAGTGCTTCAAGCATGATCCAGAAGATTAGCTTTCTATTACTTAGGTAATACTGAAAAAGAAAGCTCAAATACTGTGGGAACAATCTAAAACCTCCCATATGTGTTAAAACACCATATAGACATAGAAAACAACATGTTAATTATTAGCAACTTTCTCCACTCTGAAGCTTATCTCCTGTTCTGATGTGTAGTGTGTTAAATACGACCACAATGTAATTGGTTAGACAACAATCTGAGCTAAGAATCATCTCAAACTACATCATATACTTTCTGCTCAAAAACTGGCTATTTACAATCAGGGACACAACGTCAAAGATGATGTAAAGGACTGAATAACTTTACAAAAGCTCTATTTTGAATACTATTTTCATCTAGTCTCTGAAAAGTATTTGGAAAACCTTCACTATCCCTGAGGATCCCAGTGAAGAAAATCATTCAGCATTTATGGAAAGCAAAACATGAAAGACAACAAGCATACAAATGCGTTTTAAACATGAATGCACAGAAAGTAAAACTAACACAGAGATCATTTATTTCAGCACCTGAGAACACTAGAAAAGCTACACAGAAGTGGTAAACCAAGTGATCAATTTAAGCATTTTTCTGTTGTACTCTAAAGTACATAAAAACTTATCAAAATAAATGTAAGTGCTCTCAAAACAGGGCCTTATGTCACCAAAACCTCCTGATGATAGAAGGCACTATGTTCCCTTGAAGTATTTCTATTAAAGAAATAACATTTTGAAGGCTGTTCTGTCATGTGTCAATTCTTTTAATAATTATATGCAAAATCATTATGACAGGAATGGTTTGTTTTAATCACAGTAGTGCAGGCCAGAGCCTAGAGGATAGAGCATAAATTGAAGAGATATACCAGAAACCTCACTTACAAATGTACCAATCAGAGGCAATGTATTCATTCATTTTTTAGTAAAGCATCCAATCTACACAAGTGGTTTAGGCTTTCATACTAATGATATAACTAATCCCACATTTTATAAAGCTCATCTAGCAGATACGCAAATGCATAAATTGAACACTTCCTTGGAAAATGTAGTTAGTGTCAACATATAAGTTAGAATTCCTTACCATATGCTGTGTGATTTGTGCAATTCATTGGTTCTTGGGTACTATTGTCTATTTTAGGCTCGTCGCACATATATGTTCAGGTAATTGAGGAAAACATTTTTCACATCAAACACTACAACATGTTTAACAGTAATTTATTCCACCCTCTTTAAACCCTGGAGATTTAGGATGCACCTTGATGTTAGCTCCTACCCATCCCCCAAAATAGGAACAGCACATTACCATACACTAAATCTGCTAATCCAATTTAATACACCAATATATCGCATAAGCTCCACATTTAATTAGTGCTGCAGTCAGCACTACCTAAAGGAACAATATTTATCAGTCACATCCTCTGTATTTGAAGGCAACGAGGTAGTGCACCTACAGTAGTCTTCTTCCCTTATTTCAGTATCATAGTACCTTAAAATTGAGGCATTTGGTTGAGAAGATGAAATCCGCAGTAACACAGAAAATTCAAAGAACACCTAAAAATGAACACAGTAACCTGGAATGGTTTGTGTTGGAAGGGACCTTAGAGCTCACCCAGCTCCAAACCCCTGCCACAGGCAGTGACCCCTTCCACTGGAGCAGCTTGCTCCAAGCCCCTGTGTCCAACCTGGCCTCGAACACTGCCAGGGATGGGGCAGCCACAGCTTCTCTGGGCACCCTGTGCCAGTGCCTCAGCACCCTCACAGGGAAGAATTCTTCCTTATATCTAACTTAAGTCTCCCCTGTTTAGGTTTTAACCCATTACCCTTTGTCCAGGAATCTGGACTAGAAAAAACACTGAGCAGGAACTAATTGGTCTGAATGCCTAGAGCCAAGGAAAGCAGGAGATGAAGTGAATTTTTCCAAGTTTTTCTTTCGTGACACTTTTGATGATCCATAACGGCCAGCTACCATCAACAAGCGTTTTTTGGGGAAGGCTTGACAGAGTTTTAGAGAGTCAGGGTCTAACACGTGCACCCTGCTCCTCTGGGCTGCAAGGAACTTAACATGGTGCAAAGACACCGCGTCCCACTCAAGTGTCCTACAAACAATGAGAAGGTGGAAGGGGGGAGAAGGGGGGTGTCTCATCCCAGGGGATTTACTCCTTGAAAACTGGAGGCACCCCGACCCCGACACACTGCACACCCCCAAAGTGAACCCAGGCCACTGTTGATGTGCCCTCTCCTGCTCCTTCCAGCCGAGAACCCCCCGGGGCTCCCGACCTGAGGCTTCCTGACACCCGAGGGACACCACGGCCCTGTCAGGCCCCTCACATCCTCCACCTCCCCGGTTCCCTCCACCCGAGACGGCTGAACAAGCGGCCCCCCTTCAGGCACCGCCAGCCCCTCCGCGGCCCCATCGTCATAGCAACCGAGGCCCCGCCGCACGGCCCCAGCCCCGGCCGCGCTCAGGATATTGCCCCAGCCTCAGCTCGTCGCACTTCAGCGGCGGCTCCGTGCCCGCCGCTCCCTCCACGGCTGCACCCGCGAACCACAGAAGGACAAGCAGGATCCGCGCCTCCGCCGCGCCTCTCCGCCTTCCCGGCCCCGCCAGCAGCCGCGGCGGCCGGGCGGCCATGATGGAAACCACCACTGCCGTCAGCTGACTCGCATGCCCCGAAGGCGCCGCAGGGAGGAGCGGACCCGGCGGCGGGGGGGAAGGCCGCTGTCCTGCGGGGAGGGGCGGGAAGCGTGGCCCTACGGATGGTTCGCGGTTTGATGAGCGAACTGGTGTGGGATGTGGGGGAGATTGACCTCAGTAAACATGGCTCCGGAGACAGCTAATGGTCAGCGTACGAAGGCAGAGCGTGCCCCTACTCAAGATGGCGCCGGTGCCCTGATGAAAGATGGCGGCACCCGCCACCAGCACCTGACAGGATGGCTCGCACCTGCCCTTACTTAAGATGTCGGCCATGAGGCGCTCCGCCTCCGTTCGGGCCCGCGGGAGGCGTGGCGGCGGTGTGGGGCGGAGTTAAAAGGGAAAAGTGCCTCTGCTGCGTGTTGGGGTTACGAGGAGGCGAGTCAGTAGGAGCGGGACCTGCCCTGGCGCCTGAAGCGGGAGGGGAGCGGTGGGTAGGGTGAGGGCACTTCCTGCGAGAAGAGAGGTGAACTCTCCCTGCGCTTCCAAACACCTAAGCCGTGACTTTTGGCCCACCAGGTGACATCTTGTATCTGGGTGTTGGTCACTAAGGGTGTTCCTGGTGTTGTCTGGATTTGGCTGGTGCTTTGACAATGTTTTCAGAACCCCACAGAAGTGGTTAAAAGGGTGGTCTGTGTATCAGTGCTGCGGCAGATATGTATCACTGTGTCTGCATACCCACAGCAGTCAGAGTAAATAGTTCAAAATTCTTACTCTATTATCACATTAAATTGTGGTATTTATTGTTAAAGTGTTGTTTATTTTATTTTTAGAGGGGTACTAAGTGCCTGGAGCAGGCACGCTTTTATCTTTATCAGTGTTTGCTCTTTGTAAGGCATTCGGTGGTGGTGAAAATTTTAAACTGCCTGGAACTGGCCAGAGGGGAGACTGAGCTGAGCTCTTAGGCAGAAGCTCTTCCCTGTGAGGGTGCTGAGGCGCTGGTACAGGGTGCCCAGAGAAGCTGTGGCTGCCCCATCCCTGGCAGTGCTCAAGGCCAGGTTGGACACAGGGGCTTGGAGCAAGCTGCTCCAGTGGAAGGGGTCCCTGCCCGTGGCAGGGGTTGGAGCTGGAGGAGCTTTAAGGGCCCTTCCAACAAGAAACCAGGCTGGGATTCTATCATTGCCAAGCTTTTCCTCAAGTACTAACCTTTCTGAAGGTTGTTTCATGTCCTTGTGGTGTTTGATTTGGAAGGCATCAGTTGTGGGTTATGAATTTCTGGGGATTATGGACTGTTTATAGGAGATAGACCATGTGGAGTGAATTCACCCAGGAAAGGCAGTGTTCCTCTCTTAAGCTTACATCTGCTCTAGCAACATTTCCTGAAGAGAAGTAGGGACCTAGAAACTGCAAAAGAGGGAAAACAACTCCGAGGTAGTATTTAAGGAAATCTTGTTGTTGCGCAGCCCGTCGGGAAGTCCTTTGGCGTTATTGGCCATGATTTTGGTGACTGAATGGCGATTTGTACATGAGTGTGTTGCTACCAATGAGAGCTTTGTCACAGCCCCAGCTACTCAAAAGAATCAGTCAAACCGTGGATTTAAAACGTGTGGATGGCTGACACAGCTCAGCCAGTGCTGTGAAATATTGCCATCTAACAGCTTTTGGGGAGATTTGTGTAAACCAAATTGGCAGTCTTGACTTTAGCAAAGTATGCAAATGAAAATTGATACTCCTTCCAGCAACTGGAAGCGAAAGGCCGGGGCCAGAGTGTATTTTGTCATGAACTCAGCCCTCCGAGATCAAGACTGAGGTGCACTGATGAGAAAAGTGCTTGGCTCTTGTCTGCAGTGCATCTCTCGGATGGATAAATACAGGGCTTGCTGTTCATCACTGTCAAGGAAATTGTCACTTCTCACGAGCGCTACATTAATTAAAGCTGAGAGTAAGGACTGGGAAGTTAGGCATTTGGAGGCTGAATTTTTAAAGGAAGAGGATGGAATGATGTGTTCGTAGCATGTTGCGTGCTTTAATGCAACTGTTGTCGCTTAGTAAAGTAAAATGGGCACTAGAATGAGGAGCAAACAATCCAAAGAGGTAAAATTAATTTCCAAACCTTTTGTAGTCCTTACCCTATGCAGCTATAAGGGCTGTATAAGATCTGCAAATGAGCTAGTGAAACCAGGTAGCAGAATACAAATTGCTTTTGGAGTTTCCCTTGCCCCTTTTAGTCTGTGTACATACATATCTTTAAAAACCTGAATGTGGACTAATGCATGTTTTTCAGCGGTAGAAAGCACCCACAGTTCCTGCAATTAACTTCACCTAAATTGATACCTGTCCAGTATTTTGCAACTGTTAGTATTGTATTAAGTATTTTTAGTGTGAGGTGTCCCTGCCCATGGCAAGGGGGTTGGAACTTCATGATCTTAAGGTCCTTTCCAACCCTAACTATTCTGTGATTCTAATTAGCAGTTGCTTTTATTGCCATGGCAGGCAATATGCCGCATCTCCTGAGAGCCACAGGTAAGATGGTGTGTGTCAAGAGTGATGTTAGGAGCAGTGCTGGTTCTGGTGCGTGTTGTGAAAGGCAGCTGTTGTGCATTGCCAGTTTGGTGTTCTGTGGGGGAAGTATTATGACCCCTTAACTCCATCCAAGTCCCAGTCCTCCTGCAGCTTTTGATGTTTCCTTATGGGGAAGTGTAGGGGCTGCGCTGCTGAGGCTTGCCTTGCCTCTGGGAATTTGAGTTCAAAACGGCTCTGAATTCATGTTTGGACACTGATTTACTGCAAGGGAGTAAGAAGAAGCTGAAGCCCAAAACTGTTCAACACCACCCACATTGCACACTTTTCCCTGTCTGGGGAGTCTGGTGGCCATATTGACAGGTATAACCTTTAGGCCCATACACTGGCAAGGGAGGATTGCCTGAGAATTTACTTTGCTTTTAAGGTCTGCATTTCACAAAGCAGCTGCTCCCACTAGCTACTGCGACCAGACTCAGTGTCCTGTTTGGGAGCTTCAGCCTATATTCCCTGTCCCCATCTTCATAGAATGGTTTAGGGTTGGAAGGGACCTTAAAGCTCATCCAGCTCCAACCCCTGCCACAGGCAGGGACCCCTTCCACTGGGGCAGCTTGCTCCAAGCCCCTGTGTCCAACCTGGCCTTGAGCACTGCCAGGGATGGGGCAGCCACAGCTTCTCTGGGCACCCTGTGCCAGTGCCTCAGCACCCTCACAGAGAGGAATTCTTCCTAATGTCTAAGCAAAACCCCTCAGCAGCAGCACGGAGAGGCCAGGCCCTGCCCTGTTCTGAACTTCCAGTTCAGGTCACGGCTCTCCATTGCTCTCTGTTGCCGCCCGGCAGGCGGTTCGGGCCGAGCCGAGCCGGGCAGGGGCCGCTTGCGGCAGCGGCGCTTCTCCCACCGGGCCGTGCCCGGTCACGGGCGCTACGTGCCCGCCCGGCCGCTGTCTGCGGGCCGCTCCCTCCCCCGCGGAGGGCTCCGGCCCGGCCGTCCCTCGGGAGGCGGCCCTCCCGCCGCGCCGCCCCGGCTTCCTGCGCCGCAGGTGAGGCGGGCTCGCCCGCCGCTTCCCGCTTCCGCCCAGGTGAGAGCCGGCGGCCATCCCCCGCTCCGACCAGCGCCGCGTCCCGCCCGCAGGTACCGCGCGGTCCTGGCCCCTCAGCAGCGTCCCCAGAGCCAAGGGGAGCCGCCGCCCCCTGCTCGCCGCCGGCTCGGTCGCGGCCCCGGGCCCCCGCAGCCTGCCGAGGGCATGACTTCAGCAGTGGGGCTGAGGGCTCAAGGAAGGGCGGAGGGGCGGCGGCCGGTGAGGGCCTGAGGAGAGGCCTCGCTGCCCTCGTCGCATTGGGGCTGGCAGGTGTGGTGGTGTCTGGGAGGGGATGTCTCCCCCGGCAGGTAGAATCAGCTTATTGTGAGGGGTTTAATTCCTTCTTCATGCAGCGCTAGTGCTTGGTTCTGGTGTAGGTCCTCTGGAGAAGCGTTTTCTACATCTCGCTTCTTCAGCTCCTGACCCGTATCTGGATGTGAACACTGCCACAGTCAGCATACCTGCCCTTGCCCACAGACTCCCACCTCAATGCCCTTTAGGTTTTGGACACCAGGGCCCAAGGGGTCTCATTGACAGCCCCATAAAGCCTGGGGAGAGCTGCATGGCTCCTGAAGGAGTGTCCCAAGAGGCAGGAGTTGTCTTGGTGTTGTGCAAATAGTTCCCATTGCTTGGAGAGGCTGTGTCATGATGAGGAGAGGAGGTGGTGCTAGGCAAGTAATGGGTGGTTTGTAACACTTTCCATCAGTGCCTCTCAAACTTCAGAGATTATTAACAAAGCAGGTTTTTATTTAGGGGTGATTAATAGGAAAACAGTTCTTTTGTGTTCCTTGTGATTTTTGAAGCGTAGAAATTCAGAATGGTTCCAGGTCTAACAGCTCTGTGCCCCCATGGTTTATTGCCTACACCACCATCATAGTACCTTTAGGATTTATGGGCTAATTTCAGTAAAAGACAATATTTCTAACTCAGAAACAAGTTTTCCATGAGCTCTGTGAGAACAGGTTTCTTTGTTGCTTTGTGAAGAGCAGCTTCGGCATGAGCTCACCCTTCTTTTAGGCTTGAGGGAACCCATGCCAGTGCTTCCTGAGAGGCTGAGGTCCACAGCAGTTCAGGTTGTGCTTGTTGAAAGTTAGCATGCCTTGGGAGTGAGTAAGGCTTATTTTCATCTACATGGAGACATGTACATGCAGAGGTTTTGGTTGTTTTTTGCTTTCCATCTTATGGTCACTAATCATAGGTAACAGCAGGACGTGCTCAGTTTGCCCATGGAGTAGGGTTTTTATATTCAACAATATTTAGCTTTGACCTGCTTTACCCTGGAGATGTGGTGTATTTGTGTTCAGATACTCGCAGCACTGTTTGGTTGTTCTCTTCTTTAAGTGCCTGGAGCAGTCTACGCACTCTACAGCAGCGCTGCGCAGAACAGCAGGTTTTGGTCGT